TAAAGTATTCTTGAATTAGGTAAAAAGCTCTTTTCTGGTGCCCCTGGGCTTTCTTCAGACCTTAGTAGGGAAAGTCTATAGGTCTCAGCTTCTAATATCTCCTAGGGAAGAAATTGTGTAAGATTATTTAGACTGTCATTTTAAGAAGTGCTTTTCTGTGCTTATGTGCTTGTCAGTCACAGCTTGGGGAAGAAGCTTGAGTTCGCTTGGTTGTATCTTAGTTCGTTCACTTATTTATGGAACAGTCACAGAGCACCCACTGTCTGTCAGTCATTCTGCTTGGGTGCTGGGTGTACAACTTATTGCATCAGCACCAAATGGGAAATCAGTTTATCTGTCTTAGTCATCCAGGAAATACGTTTCCCTAAATTTGTATCTAGTCAGATTTCATTCTTTCCCATATTTGACATGTTTTGTTTTCTTCTTTTTTAGCACTTCTGGCAAGGAGTCCATTATCGCTGGGCCTTTTTCATGGCCAGTGGTCCATACCTAGATGACATCGCAGAACTGGTGGATGCAGGAAAGGTATGTGTATTGCCAGGGCATCCCTTGTCATCTCGGTGACCTGCCCATCAAGCCTGGTCAGCAGGGCCTCTCCGGACAGAGGCAGGCTCGGTGAGTGCACCGCAGCCTCACATACCAAGTTTAAGTGCTGTGTTTTCTTGGCTCAGTCTCCATGGGAGTCAGACACAGACTTGCGTTTGAAGAAAGCTTAACCATCAGTGCACCCCCCTTGGTTTATAGATGAAGAGGCAGGCCTGAGAGCCTATGTGATTTTTCCCAAAGACACTTGGTTAGATGGTAGTGGAGCTGAGGTCTGCAGCTGGGCTGCTGCTTTTTCAGTCATGGTCCTGAAAAGAAGGCAGTTGCTGCACAAAGGTGGGGGTACACTTGTGAGTTTCCATAGAACTGCTTCTGGAGCTTCTTTAGTCCAAGGATGAGGCTGTGTGGAGGTAGGCAGATTTCCAGATGAGCAAGAACAAACACTGTGGAATTAAACCCCAGCAGAACTGGACTGGAAGTCATGGTCCGAGGTCTGGCTGTTCATTTGGTATAATAACATGGAGGGCAAATGAACGGTACATCTAAGAGGATCAGTGGGAAGGACATGGTCAGGATTGATGGTGATTTAGGTGGAGACCACCAGTTGGTGTTTCTGACTATGTGAGTCCATCCTGCAGGGGATTTTGTTGGGGAGGGAGGCTGCTCGCAGCCTGCTTGTCCCTCTCTGGGTGTTGAAAGGCCTCTTGCAATGCTGGAGGTTGAAAGACAGTCCTCAGCAACCACCTGCTTATTTGGATTCTTGATGTGTTTTTAACAGCCCAGATGTCCATCTCTGGAAGAATAACCCAGAAGGCAAACTCATATTCTGCTGCTGATATGTATGATTTTATTGAGAAATTATATGGAATTATAGGATGGAGAACCTTATACACCCTAGAGGGTTGCATGAGGTCATAGATAAATGATGAGGGTTGCATGAGGTCATAGATAAAATGATTGTCATTTTACAGATGAGGAAACTGGCTCGGAAGGAGAAGGGGACATGCCCAAGTTTGCAGAAGTGGGACCAGAACTCACACTTTCTGACCTCAGCCCTGTGCTTTCCCTCTCCACCATTAAGCTGTATTCTTGGTGCTTGAAGCTGATCTAGGACTTTAGCTTAGATTGTCTTGTCCTTGTCGTTTTACAGTGGGCAGGGAAAGGGGTTGGATTAGGGCCAGCATCACACCGCATGGTCCTTGCTAAGCCTTGTGGAAAGAGCCCCTTGAGATGGGTTTGCTGGTGCTTGCACCTGCCCCTTCTGGCCCACTCATCTTTACATTCTGTTTTGGAAAGGAATCTTTTTCAGAACTACTGGCTGCTTTTTGCGCATTTAGTTTTTTTATTCTGTAACAGCCAGGGATCTACAATAGAATATGGCCCACTACTGTTCCCCAGATATGTTGGTTCCAAGTTTGGGTGCCTTTTCTCAGACTTCTAAGGCTTAATGTGTCCTGGGTAGACAGGGGCTCAGCCTTGTTGTGCCTGGAAGTGAGTGCCTCTCGGTGGGATCCTCCCCATACTCCACAGGGATGCCTGCTTTATTTCTGGGAGGAAGGAAAAGAACTGTCAACAGGTAATTTGGCCCCTTGTCCTCCATAGTGCTGAATGTGGTTGGAGCCCCATCATTAGAGAAGTCCCTGTCCTGCAGAAGTCACCACCTGATTGTGCTTGTCCTGACGTCTGCTCCAGACTGTCCACATGCTTATCATTGCTCTTTTGTATTCAAAATATTGTGACTCTCTCTCTACCTGGAAATTACTATTTATGCAACAGAAAAGAGAGGCTACTTGTGTATATGTACCTGTTGAATTTGGTAGATAACTGGTAGAATGGCTAAAAGAGGACATGATAGAAATAAAGATGCCCTTGAAGTGCCCTTGAATGAGGGTGAGCGAGGAGATGTTCCTTTGGCTTTTGACTCTTTTCTCACCAGGGTTACTTAGGCTCGGGAGTCATTTCTGACAGAGAAGGGCTCTGGGACTGTGAGAGCTGATATGTGACGCTGGATGCCATGAAGCGGTCAGCTGTCTTGTGGTGCATCCTGCTTCTTTGTGCATGTGAGAGGTTGTTGCCTGTCTACACTGGAAAATGGGAAAGGCTGACAGATCTGCTTACAGACTGTGTAGTTAGATTGTTAAGTCGGATGAGGACATTGCAATTCCTCCAAGCTTCTGCTGAGTAATTAATGAATCTAATTCACAGGTAGAGGAGCTGTAGTTGTTTTTTTGGTAGTGTGAAGCCATGAACCAAAAGAGCCTACTCTTTTAAAATACTTGAAATTAGGTTTTTGAGTAAATAATACATTTATAAAGTTCAGAATCCAAAAGGTAGGGAAAGTTATTTGACAGAATCTTCCTTTGACTTCTGTCCCTCAGTCACTGGGATTCCCCTTGTCAGACAACCAGCATCACCAGCTCCTTGGCTGTCCCGGACATGTTTTCTGATTCAGTAGGGTGAAACAAAAGGATGATTCATAATTAGCACATTGAGTTTAATGGGTTTCTACTGAAATTGTGCCTTATTCCTGAGGTTTATTGGCATTTTCTTCTAAGCACAATACACATTTCCTGTTTTTATACTATTTAGCAAACTTTTTTTGGTGGGGAGTGGGAGGCACACAGCAAACACTGTATTCAGGCCGAACATCTGCCGCTGGTGAGCATGCTCAAAGATGAGAAACAGGAAACGTAGCACATGGCTAGTTTACTGTCCTCACCCTCCCCCCCTTTTTGAGGAGACAGAGGCCCTACAGATTGAATGTCACGTTCAGGGTCACACAGACAGGGCCCAGGTTTCTTGCCTTCTAGGACAGTTCCTTTCACCATCCTTTGCTGCCCTATTTAGGGATTGAGGCAGAAATAGGTACAAAATAAATCCTTCATACCACCTATCTTATTTTCTGCTTGCTTAGTCATCCAAACATGAAATAGGTGGAGTTTGAATTCCATCTACAAAATCCTCTTGTATTTCTCAGCATCTTTCAGGACCAAGAGGAGGTGGTAGGCCGGACTCTTTAGACCCTAGTCAGCTACTGATAAGAACGACTGTGTTTTGAGGGAAGGTATCCATACACACTTGCTTATACAAGCATGTATTAGTTTCCTACTGCTGCTGTAACAGATTACCATAAATTTAAATAACACAGAGGTTTTATTTCATAGTTCTGGAGGTCTGAGTCCAGGTATTATTTTATAGTTCTAGGTCAGCAGGTGGCGCTCCTTTGGTGGCAGGCTGTAGGGGAAAATCAGTTTCTGCACCTTCTCCATCTCCTAGAGGCCCCGTTTTCCTGACTCGTGGCCTCGTATCACTTTGGCCCCTGCTCCATCATCACATCTCCCTCTCTCACTAGCCCTCCTGCCTCCCTCTGATCATGACCCTGGGATTACACTGGGCCCACCTGGCTAATCCCCCCATCTCAAGATCCTGAACCAGATCACATCTGCCTTGTCAGTTGTCACATTCGCAGGTTTGAGGGATATGTGAACATCTTTGGGGACCATTATTCTGCCTACTACAACGTATAAAACATCTCAAAAGATAGAAAAGAAACTTGAAATATTGGTTGCCCCTGAGGAGGGGAACTGGATGGCTGGTGATCACATATGAGAGGGAGATTTTTGTCCCCTTTCAGCATATGTGAGTATTGAGTATGTGTATGCCCACATGTGTTCTTCATGTAATTATTAAGGCCATTTGAGTCCATAGGTCCTAGGTGAACAGCCAGGCTTCTTGGTTGAGCGATGATGTGGATATCTCAGCTTATTTATTTTAACCAGCATCAGAATAGTTCCTGTGTAACTTGTTTGAGTCTAACTCAGAACAGTTAGTGAGGGCTAGTGGGCACAGTGCTTCACCCAGTGGGCTGTGGAGAGATGCACTGGCCACTCGGCCACACTGAGTTACTCTCCTAAGCTGAGCTGTCCATCAGAACTTCCTGCAGTGATGGAAATGGTCTCCGTGTCTAATGTGGTAGCCACTAAGCCACACATGGCTATTAAAACACTTGAAACGTGACTATTGCAACTGAGGGGCCAATTTTTTTTTAAGGAGCTAAATTTTTTATTTTATTTACTTAATTAGTTTAAATGTAAATAGCCACATGTGGCTCGAGGCCACCATTTCGGACAGAGCAGCTTTAGAGAAGAAGTTAAGTTCTGAGGCAGATGATTTCCCAGATCCCTCCTGGGATGGTTGGGCCCTAGTTTTGCAATGAATTATATTCCCAAACTTTAAGCTCCTTATTTGCAACTGGATTGTTTTCTTCCCTAGGAAGAATGTCATGGTTAGGGACTAAACCTAAATCCCTCAGACACTAGGAGGGCGTTATCTTGCCAGATGTGGCAGGTACCTCATAGCCTTTGTGCTGCTGAAGTTTTTCAGATGCCGCTAAAATCGTTTCTGTGGGGAGACGCCAGCTGAGTTTCTCCCCTCACCTTTGGGCTGGAAGGAGTGCCTTTTCTCAGGGGAGCCTAGGGACAAGTCCTGAATGCTTCCAGAATGGGCATATTTACTCCCTTGGAGTGTACCCCACCTCCACCCTCTACCTCCCCTCTCACCACTGTCTTATGGTCTTGACTTTTCCGTCTGGGGCCAGGAAGTTCCAGAAATAGCAAGTCTGAGCAAAGGCAACCTCTCCCCTTTGTCTTCTTCATTTCTCTTTAGTTTACATCCTCTTCTTCCCCTTTCCCCAAGCTTGAAAATTCCCAGCTACTGCAGAGCTCAGGGTCATCTAGGAGGCAGTGCCGGAGTGGTGGTCCTACCGCCTCTGCCCTGGGGCCCTGGGCCTGTGCACAGGTGTGTGGACTGGGACTCATGCCAGGGGCCCGTAGGTCTCCCTGGGTCTCTGTCATCTGTCTCCTCACACTCCCGACCTTCTGAGATCAGTTTCTGTGCCCAGTGGAGCCTGAGACCAAGGTCTGGGAAGAGGTGGACAGACTCAGGCTTCCCTCCCCAAAACGCCCACAGGACCTGCGATGATGACAGCTGGGAGTCCAGGACCCTCACTCCAGCTCCTCTGCTAAAAGGAGCTGACCTTGAATTTAGCACTTCCCCATGTGCTTCAGTTTCCTGATCTATCCAGTGGTCTCTGCTCAGCGGTTTCCATCGCCTTAAAGCTTGTCTGTTCTCTGAGTCTCACGGGAGAGCAGGGATGGAGGGAGAGCCCTGCCTGCTGCCCTGCATGCCTGGGGCTGGCCTGGCCCCACTGGCGCTCTCGTGCTCCTGGGGTGAAGGGCTTCTTTCCTCTTCCCCCTCAGAGACAGGGAGGGATTCTGCCTCAGGGCCAAGGAGGCTGGCTCAGCGCCGGTGAGCTGCAGGATTCCGAGGCTGCGCTGGGGAGGTGGAGGTTCCTGTTGTCCCTGTTCTCACAGAAGTGGTGTCAGGCAGCAGGTGCCGAACCCTGGGGCCTGGCTCTACATAGCCTTGGTTTAGGAAAGGTGAGGCACGATCTGGGGAGCCCCAGTTGGGGTCCAAGACTGGAACGAAAGCTGCGAGCCCCATGCGGCCGTGTAGCTGGCAAGGGTGGTGTCGGGCCCACTGCTTTATACCAGGCTCCCCGTGCCGGGTGGGCTGCAGCAGTGTCATCACATAGTATCCCCACCTCCCGGGGAGTAACCTTTCTTTCCCCTCTCCGGGTTTTCACCCTGATCCCTTTGTCCATCACAAGCACGCATTCTGGGTCTGCTGTGCGGCTGTGCACAGACGCTGCCTCATTATCCCCTTAATCTCCGTTTGCTGTCACATAGTCAGCCAACGGTGGCATTTGCCTGCCTGTTAACTGAAAGCCTTTTCTGCCATTGTCACTTACGGGAAGAGCTGAATGCCCATTATGCCAGTCAGCCCTCTGGGATTAGTCGCCACAATAGGCCTGAGCAGCCAGATGAAAGTGTGCCATCCTGCGGGCTGCCTGTGTCATCAGTTCAGGGTCTGTGTCTGCGGGCAGGTTCTAAAGATGGGCCGGGGCAGTTCATTCTGGAGCGGGGCAGGTGGAGTCCCGGTTCCTCCGTGACCTCTGGAGGCTGCCACTGTGTTGTTCTTGTTCCTGGTGTCCAGCGCTCAGTGGATGTGATTGCCTCCTTTCTTCCCTTGGTTCTCTCTCCAGTGCCTGCTTCGTGTCCCTGCTCTGCATTCGTCCCTGGCACTTGAAGGCAGACACTTAGTCCCTGTGTAGTGGATGAGTATGTGCATGATACAAGTTAGGAACCCTAAGCATAAGGCAGAAGGCTGCAGTGATTCCTGCTCTGAAGTGTAGAAAACTCAGCTGAGAAGCTGATTTAAAATGCCTTGTCTCCACCCCACCCCTAGAGATTCTGATTTAGTTGCTCTAACAGGAGATCAAAGACTCTGCATTTTAAGCACGCATTCAGGTAATTTCTTTTCAGGTGATCAGCATCCAAAAAGCCATGTCCCAGTGTCTGGAAGGAGAGGGATAGGTTCAGGTTTCGGTGGGACGTGCAAGGAACAGCTCAGATGCATTCCAGTCTTTTACCAGACAAAGCAGTAGGTTTCCTTTAATAAGTCAGCTTAGACCTGTTCTGTTCACAGCCTTGAGCGAGGCTGAGGTCATGCTCAGCCTGCTAGGGAGTACCATGGTTACTAGTCAGCGATGCAGCCAGAGGTGCAGATGGGAGGGGGGCGTAGAGACCACACATCTGCCATCTCAGTGGCCTGGAGACTGGATCCCCAGCCGGCCTAGTTCCTTAGCACGAGGCAGGCCAGCCGAGATGCAGGCTGTGATAAATCATTATAATCTTTAGCTATCTTTCCCTCCCCTTAAGATTTTAGTAGATGTAGAAAGCAGCTGACGATACACGAGAGGCTTAGTGCATAGTGGTGAGAGCATGGGCTCTGGCACAGACTGCATCCTGCCTTAGCAGTTACGTGATGTTGACACACAGTGAGGAGCTGTTACTTTTATTATGAGCTCGTCGTGGTTTGTGGGTAAAAAGGAGAAGGGAGCATTAGGAGTCTGAGATGCAGGGCTGTGAAATTCGCGCAGCAGGAAGGCCCACCAGGTGCATCTGAACACAAGAGCACTCACTTCTTCCTCTTGTAAAAAGGAAAAGGGTCGCAAAGTGTAGGCTTAATCCTTCTGTCAGTGTGTCCCTGCCACAGAGCTGTGGGAGGCAGTCCACTGAAATACCCAGTGGAGAGTTACTGATTTCTGCCTGAAGTTTTGGAAAGGACATGTTCAGTTGGATTTGTGTGTGGGGAGAGAGGTTGCTAACTGGACCACGTTTCAAAAGGAGTTTGCTGGCAGCACTAATGATACAGTGAAAAGAACCAGCAACATTTGAGCCTTTATGAGCTGGCTGAGGCAGCATTCCTGTAAATTCTAACTAGCTGCTCTGCTGCTTAGCAAAGCCCCCGGGGCCGCCCCAGCCAGAGACGGGCCCAGAGAGCCCCAGAAGACACTTGCTCCCCAGTTACCTTATTGGTGTTCATCTAAGTGACATTTATTAAGCCTCCACTGCATGCCTTGCACTGCACTGGGTACAGGGGTTGCAAAAGGTGGCCTGTACCGCAGGTGCTCTGAGATTTGGTTGAGTAGATATGCCAAACATTTAGCAAATTAAAAAAAAAAGCCCCTTTTCTGGGCACTGCCTGTGCAGGGCCCACGGGGATACATACAGCAAGAACCTGGGATGCCCCTTTGGCGGTGACCACGTGGGACAGGGTGGCTGAGATGTGTACTCAGCTGTAACAGGCAGTCTGTGAGGAGGGCCACTCAGCTCCGCAAGGAGAGAACATGCTGCAGACTTGCAGGGTCAGGCGGGTGGTGTGAGCCCGGGGCCGGCGCGCAGGGGAAGCTGCAGAGGAGAGGCACACGCGTACTAAGCTCGGACCCTGACAAGTAGTCCATTTTGGTAAAGCGTGGCGCCAGCCGAGGGCTGAGGTTGGGATGGTGGTGGCCTCTGGATGCCGGCCTTGGGAGCTGCTGAAGGGCGCTGCGTAGGAGAGTGACAGGACAGCTAGAGCGGGAGCAAGGCTGAGCCCGGCCGAGTTGGGCTGTGCGCACAGGAGCTGCAGGGGCGGGAGAAGCAGCGGCGTGGCCACCGTGGTGCCGCCGCCGTGAGCACCTGACCTGGGGACGCCACCCAGGCCCGAGACAGACCAGCCAGGGCTGACATCGTGAAGAAACTAATTACAGACGTCATCTGCCTTGGACGATGCAGGTTTCCTTACCCACTCGTCAACTTATTCTTGTGTTTTACAGATTCAGCCTGTTATTGAAAAGACCTTTCCTTTCTCTAAAGTTCCAGAAGCCTTCCTGAAGGTAGAGAGAGGACATGCACGAGGAAAGACCGTAATTAACGTTGTTTAAATAAATTCTCAGTTTGGTGACTGTTGGCTCCCTTATTTGGTGAGTGCCTGTGGGCCCCAGCTTTTTCCTAGCCATCCCTTTCCAGGTTAGGCTGTAAATTCCGTGATACAAGTTTAAAAAACACACACCTTTTTGCCAGTTATTTCCCGTCTTCTGATCCAAGCACAGAGACTGATTTTCCAGCCACACCCACACCTGGCCCTGCCCAGGGTGCTTTCTCATGTCGCCTGTCCTGACACAGCCACGCTCTCCTGTTTGCTGCGAGGTCCTCAGTGCCAGGTGCCAGGGATACAAAAGTAAGAACATGCTGTGAAAACATCCACACTGGGACTTTGTAAGTCAGTGAAAGGCGCCCGTTTTTTTTGCAAGCTGTTCTTTCACACCAGATTTGCAGACTGTCGTGGCACCTTCTGTTCTAATAGCTCAAACTCTGTTTTATCATTTTAGTATTTGTGAGAGATTAAAACTTCCAGTGCGTGGATGACAGCATGAAGAGCTTATTTAAAGCTAATTCCTTCTGAGATTCATGAATCAGTGAGCACATGTCAAAGTGGCCAAGGTCTCCTTTGATTTTTGTTCCTCTGCTCTGATGTGGTCGTAACAGCCGTCAGCACTCTGAGTCTAACAGCGTCATATATAAAAATCTGGCTGGTGATTTGGCTGTTTGCTCTCGTAGAAAATGAAAGATGATGTTAAAGTTTCTAACTTTTTAAAACCCTTACTTTCGCCTAAAGGCTAGGCCTCTTTCAACACCTGAAACATGCGTTTCTGAGGCTTTTTCCATGGAAGTTACAGCCATTCCCTTGGGGCTCAAAGTGGTTTCTGACCATAAATGCTTGCATGTAGGTGTCTGGCCAGTGAGCCCCACCTTGGTCTGTGCCCCTCATTCACGCACGATCAGTGCGCATCTCCTGTCGTGCTCAGTCTCATTGCTGCACGTTAGAGACCGGCACTGAGCTTTGACGCAGGCCTGTTTGGGTGCCTTTCTGCTTGGTTTACTCCTGCTAGCCACTCGTTTGGTCGTGTGTTGGATGAGGGCTTTTCTCTACAATTGTGGTCTCACGAGTACAAATTTACCTCAAAAGAAAGAAAAGGTTTTTCAGTTGTGAATACAGCCACTTTTGACTTCCATCTGAACGATCTTAGCTCTTTTTCTTGAGGGCTCCCAGGCGGTGGTGAGGGGTATACACCTCTTGAGGGAAGACCTCACTTACCCTCATGTCCACCCTCAGATAAGTGGAGTGTGTCCTTTCACCGCCGAGTCTGGAGAGACGGGAGCCCACTGTTTCTCTGCCCCTATTCCAGCACCCAAAACCCGCCTCGTCCGATCAGGCGTTTGTTTCTAACCTGCCAGCGGGCCCTCTGTGAAGTGTTACAAGGGCTGCTGCGTGGACTCTGTGAGATACAGTGAACCAGGCAAGTTTACTCAAGAGGTAAATTCAACACAGGCCAGACCGTCTCACCCAGCACACCATGCTGATGTGCACAGGGCCTCAAATCAGAACAAGACGGACGTGTTGGCTGTTGCTAGACGTGTGCAAACATGACTTAAACTGAGGATAAACTACCCTGATGACGGTAAGTGCCTACCACGGACTCCGGAGGATGGACATGGTACAACTGGAAACACACTGGAAGAGATGAACAGAAAACAAGATTTGTTCTTCCTGTGATAGGAGCACCAGCACTCAGTGACGAGGACAATGAAATGAGGACAAAAAGGGGAAGAGTGCATTCAAGGTATGTTGAGCAATTTTGTTCAAACTAGAGTCACTGAACAGCACCAGGTGGGCCGGTGAGCGTGCTGTCAGCAGCTCAGCATTCGCAAGTCGCTGAAATGCTTGCTGCAGTTCAGGGCTCTGAGTGCTAAGGTTTGGGCAACAAGCATTGCGGGAGGCTGCCTTTCCTTCACTTTCTGGACAGAGTGCTGGCCATCCTCTTGAACCTTCCACACTTCTCGTTTCTACTTCCAGCAGTAAGTGAGCTGAGGCTGCTCCCCCAGCAGTCACTCCCGGTGCCCGGCCTGGGAGCATCACAGGGAGGCAGCCCCGTGCAGGCCTTGTGCCAGTGCAGCTGGACAGGAGGGCCGGAGACTAGGCTCAGAGACCTGCGGTGAGCCAAGGACTGCACCACATTGCTTCAGAACTAGTAGTAGGTGAGTGAGGCTGGCTAGTGAGTTGGATCACGGTAATACTGGTCCAGTAGCTTCTGTGAGGAGAGCATTAACAACACTCTTGTGTGACATTCCAGGGCAGCCCAAGGGTGAGTTAAAATCATCCAAATCCTGCTAATAAATGTTAGCAGACATGGATGTGAAATCTTATAAATTTACTAATTTTAATATTAACAGAAAAATCATACTTTGTTCACTTATTCAGTCCCTTGGAGATGAGGCTTTCCCCACTGTGCTATACAGTGTAATTAATGAATCCAGAAAATAGAAGGTCAAGGACCAACATTACAGGCCTAATTATTTCTTCTCAGATGCTAAACAGTCTCCCACCTTACAAATGTGAGCTTTTATCCTCCCCTTTAAAGTGTAAGGGACTTGTAGGTCCCTAAAGTCAGTTAAGTTGGTGCCTGTTCTCTCCTCAGATTATTTCCAAAAATAGTGAAAGATGTGTTCGATCTTAAAGTTTTGATACAACTTTTTTTTAAAGCTGCTAATAAGGCAATCTGTTTAAGCAGCTACTGAAAGGAAATGGAAGGCAAGAAATGAAAGGAGGACAAATAATTGGTTTAAAACAATCACAGCCTTTTGAGAAGATGAGCAGTTGTCCTGGTCACAGCAGCATGATTCATGAGTGGACTTAGGGTTGTTGAGGGAGCAGGTCCACTTTCTCGGTGCTTCTGCCGGCATTCTTTTCTTCTTTTATTTAAGTAAGGCAGCTGGGAGACCTCCAGAGGTATTCCTCTTGCACTCCTCATTCAGGCCTACAGGACCATGGCTTCCCACACTTGTGTTAACTTCTCCTTGTTGACAGTGTTGAGAATAAGGTGATTTTGATCATACTGTGTGCCGCCTGAAAGGAAAGAGCACAGTAAGAGGAAGTGTGCCCGTGTGAAGGGCTACAGCGGACAGTTTATCACGACACCAGCATAAGCAAGGTGCGGTGCTAGCGCCTCAAGGAAACAGCAGGGAGGAGAGCCCAGAAACGCACCCGAGGGCTGCGAGGCTTGACCTGCGGCGGGGTGAAGTGTTAAAACCTCATTAAACAGCGTCAGCAGCTCCACACGGATGACCTACCTCGCGGGGCTCCTTTTCCTACTCAAGTGTAAGAAGCTAGTCCATGGTCACTCTTGATCTGTCTGAAATCGGAGGGAACAGGAGAGAATGTGGAGGACAAAGGAGCAGAGAGACGTGACACACTCAGCGGTGGGGTGGCGGATTTGAGATACTAGTGAGGAGGATGCAGGCAGGCCTGAGAGCAGTGGAGAGGCCGTCAGATGGAGTTTTGCATGAACAATGGCTGTAGCAGGTCACAGAGGAGGTTTGAGCGGCACCAGAAGTATGGACAGGGCAGCACTCCCACTTGTGTGTTCAAATTCAGAGCATTTAAGATGCTAAGTTCCACTAGACTATAAAACTAGTATGCTTTCCATAAACTCCCTTTCGCCACAATACATTCCAAGCGTGCTTGCTAGGTATTTCAGATTCGTAAGTGTTAAAAATATCCCCTTGGCCTCTTCATTCAATAGAGAAGTATCATTAACAAAACAAAGGGTCATATGACTTTTTTCCAGTGTGGACTTTTTTTCCTTTCAGAGACCTTATCCTTTTTCAGCATAAGCCTCTGCACCAAGGTTAGATCACCAAGGACTCCATTAAAATCAGAATCCGTTCATCTAGATGGAGGGTAAGTGTGACTGGTATTGAAATCATACTGCGGCCCCAGGCCAAGAAGAATTAAATTCTTATTCTCTTTTAAAGCATTTACAAAACATCCAGAAGGTCAGAAAACTTACACAGCAGATTTTGGTGGTCACCTCTCATGCCCCCACCCCCTTGTAAGAAAGTGGTTTATTGTCACTGATGGTTGAGAGCCTCCACACAGCTGGAGAGGACGGGCTAGAAGGGCACCGTGCCCTGGGCCTTTTATGCATAAGTTTGCAGTGCAAATGGAAGTTGCCACCACCGAGACACACACACGATATGTATATTCCAAGGAGATTTAAGGAAGTACTGTCTTAAGGTCACAATGTCTTTTTTTATTCTTCAGTGTCTTCTTTATTCAAGATTATAGTATCTTAAACATACTTTCTGTGTATATTACATCCTGATTCTAATCAGAGTCATGAAGACTAGAACGTTCTTGGAAATAATCTGAATACTTCTGCCTTTGGGGAGAATTAAAATCACCCCAGACTTGTGACATTTTTTAAAGTGAGCTTGAGTCAGCTTTCACTGCTGACTGACATCATATATGTGGTCTGGAATACTACATGGATGTCTACAAACTACAGGTAGTTTAAAATAAATCTTATGGTAATATTAGTAAGTAACAAATAGTTGAAGAGTTGTAGCTAATGAGAGTCACAGTCTCCTATTAAGTGTCCCAACGAGAGAGGTTTCCTGTCTCCCTTGTACTGTAGGTGAAGTGTGTGGCCCTACTCTCTCACGTCCACAAGATGGCACCATTCTCCCACAAGCTGAGAAATTTAAATTCAGTTTAGCAAGACATCATGCTTCTGCAGCTACCAGACTAGATATACTGAGTTCAGATGTACAGAACAGCATCATTACTCCAAAGGCGTTGGACTAATTTATAATGCATTTTAGGAAGTGACCTTGGAGCTTTAAAGCAAAGCTCTAATAAGGAGGAAGATTTCTCCCTGTCAATGGCCAGTGCAGCAGTGGGGGGAAATCCTACATGCCTGGAGATTCTAGAATGTAAGCTCTCTGAAGCCAAGGTAGTTTCCTTCCCCCCCCCCCCACTTTGGTACCCCCAGTGTCTAGCACAGAGCCTGTCACATAGTGAGTGCCCAGTAAACACATGTTGAAAGAATAAAAGAAATGCTC